GGTTCGACCCTGCGTCAAGATTTCAGTTGGCTAGAGATTGTCACCGCGCCTGGACAGTCAGTTACAAATGTCGATATTGCGCGAATACGCCAGTCCTAGGAACTTCTCCACTGGAGTTGTGCTGGCTGAATCAGCCAGCACTCATGAAAACTGTTCTTTGGGCGGTGGTGCACGAAGTGAGAGCAGTGAACGAAAGCTATTGTGACGTCATCCATTATCGGATATATCGCTCAGGTTCCACATTGTGAGGGATTCCAAACCCTACTCTCTCTGCAATGTGATAGGGATCCCATGCTTCGGCATTGGTGCCAAGCTAGAGGCGCGAATGCTACGTATCGGTCTCATCCGTCCATATGTGGCTTCATTGATGCCCTCGACGAGGCACTGGAGGAGAGGGCAGTCGCCCTCATTTCTGAAGGAACTTCTACCTACAAAGCTTTCTCCATCATAGTGGATGAGTCGTCGTTCGTAGAAACTTTGCAACTAGTTATATTCATCAGGTAAGGGCCTCTAATGAATTTGGGCGACTGCTCCAGCTGCCGGAATCAGATACATGGGGGAAGGTCTGGACGAAAGGGTCGTCCCAATCGAATCACTCCTAGACACATGCGTGATATCGTCAACGAGAGGTTCTGAGGTGGGGAAAAGCTGTCGAAAAAGTGCTGGCGAGGTTCAACCTCTGCGCTGGTGACTTCGAATCTTTCAGTGGTAAATAGTCACGGGAGGCCGTCGACAGTGCTCTGGATGCGGTGCTGTAGCACATGTTCCACAAACGATGGCGCGAGTGCGATAAGCAGTCCAGTTGATGGGGCCTTTGGATACGTGCTACGTAATATTATTGGGGAATGTACTTTCCAGCGTTGCCGGTCAGCTTGGGAAAGCGCCTCAAAACTTCTACTATTCCGTTTTCTTCCACTATTGTTTAGGGCACACCGGCTCGCCCTAACCGCCAAAAGCATAGCACTGCTATGATAGCAGAAGATCACACTATAGTCAACAATTTTCTCGACCAACTGCGCTTGTTGTAGAAGATTTTACACAAATCCAACAAAAAGAGCGCAGCCCTTGAGGAAGTATGTCTGGATACCGGCGAGCGATATAGGTTTGGGCCTCACGTAAGATACAACCCATGAATTCCATGTCAGAAAATCCTGCAGTGCGTGAGCACCAGATGGCTCAGTGCTCATCAAGCCTTCCATCAGCGCCTCCGTCGACAGTACATTCCAGTTCCTTTGACCTTGATGAAGATTGCCGATGAGACTCCCTATACCCAACCCGATAGGGCGGAATGCCGCGGGCCTCTCAAAGAGCTCGCCCACCCTGATATTCACATCGTCAGTCTTGGTTACGTTCGGCCTTATCTTGGGCAAGTTGGCTGAGATCTACATCTTTTTCCAGTCGCCTGATCTGGATATCGCCGGTGGCGTGGTTAGAGCTACTTGTCTTATTGAGGAGCTGGGTGCATTGAGTAGTGAGAGGGTGATAGTATATGCAGGTTGTGAATCACGACTCGTGATGATGTCGATGAGTTGAACAAGAAGCCCTCTGACAAGAGGGAAGGCAGTACCGGACTGTGAGAGAAACCGGAGATCCTGCAGCCAAGCTCCTGGTAAGCTATGTCCAAGACTTGACAGAAGAGTTGAGAAAACTTTCGGGGAGATAATCAGTTTCTTCGATGTCTCTCAACATTCGATGATGAGGTAATACCTCAGAGGTATAGTTGGCGGAGGCTGCGAAGCTTGCTGCGGAGATAGATCTTGATGTGGAGGCAGAATCGATAAGACGGCATATTCAACACAGCGGTCTGAGACGTGAGCCTCGCTATTTCCGAGTAGTGTGGTAGGTCACTCATGAGCGTCTCACAAGTTCGTGCAATCTGATTTATCGAGGTTGTCCAAAAGACTTCAGGTTCTTCCCGGGAACTTTCATTTTATTCAATATCTTTTTCCCACTCGGCATTATCTTAGAATTTTCAACCGTATTGCTCTCGTCCGCGTTCAAGTCAATGGGCTATGATCATATATCAGGCTATAATAATATATATGTCAATACAGGAAGTCATGGACTTCGAGTTTTCGAGTAAGAACGATCTTCTCTTAGTCAGAATGATTCTTTGTATTGGTAATGCTATGACATGACTTAAATTCGGTAACGCACGACATGCTATCTGTCCCTGGCATTACTAACGAATCACGGAAACTAAACACAACGCATTGGTACAACTCGAGACATCCGAATTCGAGTCGGGATATTAGTCGCACGAACTTCGTGCGACTAATATCGTGTCGCACGAGTATGTGTATCGAGGAACCTTCGTGCCACGAAGGTTCCTCAAGTACTCCGAAAATGCCCAGACAACGATTTGACTCTTAGAGTAGTACAATGTCTGTTAAACAAAGACGATAAGGCAGGCGTACGCTCAACACACGCTCAACACGTACGCTTTATCCATCAGATGATAGTAACGCTAGTCGATTATCATAACTTCTCTAAAGAAAACCCGATTCTTCGACAACTTAAATGTCTTGCGAAGGAACCCAATACACCTCCCCTGTAGCAAGGAGATTGCCGGTCTGCCATTCGAACTCCTTCTCATCACGATACAACTTGCCACTCATTTCTGAATCATACTCAACCTCGCCGACCAACCAGGCCGCCACTTTGGCACCGGTCTCAGCAGTGCGGCGGCCGGTGTGACTGAAGAAATAATATGACGGCCGAAACCAGCAAGTAAACTCTGAATATTCTCGAACAATAGACGCAACTCACCCGGTCAAGTCCGTTCGACACCAGCCTGGACAGCAGCCGGTGACGACTATCTTGCGAGAGTCGGCCAATTGGCCTTTTTGGCATTTGGCCTTTTTGGCCAATGTTTTAGTATAGGCGATGAGAGCCAACTTGGACATACCGTACATACTGTTACTGAAGCCCCCCTCCTGGTAGCCGTCCTCCTTGACCCCAGTGATGAACTCTTCCACGAGGGCGTCGACCGACTCTTCGGTGGCGTTGGGATCTGCAAACCTCTTCTGTAGGGAGTCAGAAACCTAACGACGGTGGACCAATCCGACCTCGACCGACTTTGTGCCGGTAACGGCATTTCTATAGAGACAATTGATAGACAGTTATTGTGATTTTGTGTGTGTCTCTAGTCTCCATAATTGTGTCCTAGCGTCAAGCTAGTGGACTCAGGTTCATAACTAATTTATTATTGTGGTTGTTATTGTTGTGGTTATTCCCGACATCATTGAAGTTGCGTAAAGCTCTATTGTGGTATCTACCTTGTCATCAAGTTTATCACTTAGATCCTTTGTATACTTCGACGGTCAAGAGTCTTGAGTTATATTATAACCGTCACATTCTACCGGGATCTTAATTGACCAATGTCAACGACGCCAGCTTTGCCATCTCAAACTGTTGATGATGAACAGCTTCTACGTTTAGCTGAGAGGGTAGCTGCTCTCAGACTAAATAGTGATGTGGGTAGTCTAAGAGATCTTCCGATTCAAGGACGAACTCAGTCATGCTTCTCATTTCTCAGAAGTATGTTTTCTAATCGTAGTCATGTAACTACGATGCCTCATCGAGCAGTTGTACGTCCTCTTGGAACGACTCAGAGTGATCCTGGTGTGGTAGAGAGGAAGCTTCAATCGGTTGGTTTCCCCGATTCTCTACCTAATGATGATCTTTTTGGTAGTGCTATTCATGATCAAATTGATGGTTTGAAGAATGATTTCGGTGTCTCAGCGGTTGATCTAGAACGTATTCATGATGCTTCTTTCAAGCGGGCTAAGGATAGTCAACTACCCTCTGGTGGTGCTTATATGGGCCATGTTGATAGTAGGTCGATAGATATGTT